GAGAGAGAGAGAGAGGGGGAGAGATTGAGATTGAGGAGAGAAAAGATGGGGAAAAACCTCTGAACTTACTGAGTACTGAATTGCCAATCTATGATCTGGAAGGTTCAGTAATTGGGTTTTATGTCCAGATAACAAGGACATTTATAAGTGCTTTTTATAAGTATTTAAAAATGTTTCTATTTTTCTAGATTTCTACATTGATAGAAGACTACAAACTTTAAAATCCAGTATTTTACTGGAAACTATATATGGCACTCTATGATCCACTGTGTCATTCCTGCAGCCAAGAGAAATACCTGAAAACACTGACCAAGTCAGGGATTCAGGATAAGAATGCATTTCTGGAGCAGAGACGGGCGTGTGTAGACAACACCTGTTCTTCCTCATCCATGGACCCTTCCGCCATTACAGACACCTGTGCCACCATCAAGACCTCTACCTCTCCACTATGCTAAAAGGTGTGGCACGGGCTTCTATTAGTCTCTCCTTCCATACAGAGTGAGCCTTTTTCTTTTTTTGAGCAAAAGCAAATACATAAATAAGTTTTATCATTTCATTCTGTGCATGCTATCCCAGGAAGTTAGTTATTGGTTGTTGCTTTTTATTTTACCTTTTCTTCTTGAGTAACTTTTAAATAGAAAACGAAACAAATATTTAGAACAGACTTTACAGTTTAATCTGTTTATATCTGTTCTTCTGGGAGTTAATTATAATAATAGCACTATCTGCAAACTGACTCGAGAAGTTAAGACAACACAGAAACAAGACGAACTGTATTGTATTCTAATGGACAGAAATGCATGAAAAGGAAAAAGTGGACAGAAGTACAAGGGCACATTTAGTCTCTAACTTGACGGCTCAAAGATGATTAAACCAAAAGATAAAACACTAAAATCTGAAATTCTACATTAAAAAGGTAGCTTTCAAGTTTAAATAAAGCGATATTCCTAACCTCCCCGCCTCCCCAAAAGAAATCAAAATGTTCTTCCTCAACTGCAGGCTCAAAGCCTGACATTCAGTTTGTCTGTGCTAACAGGTACCTTATATTGGCCAGCATAGTGGGTCATAATGATGATGGCACAGGCACTACCTGGTTCTCTTGGGATATGAAAATTATTCCCTTAATTTTTAAAAGTAAATATTTGGGAACATATATTATGTGACTGTCTCTTGGCTTAAATTACATTTTTGTAAGTGAGGGACTTTTATATGCCTGACAATGTGTGCGGGCTATAAGACTTCTAGGTGAAATGAACATTTTTCAATATTACCTGTTCTGATGCAGGTCTTCATATAACTGCTTTTTAAGGTTATAACCTAGAGACTCTAATTTGCTACAAACGTTCTTGGCAGGGGGAGATCAAGCATTTAAAA